CTCTCACCTGATAAAAATGTTTTTACGTTGGTTAAATTTGCAAAAATCTAGACGATTTGGTAATTTCTGTTGTCTAACACAGTAAACACTATTCCCCCAGTACTGTTCAGATACTGGCGTCTCTCTGTTTTTCACCGGCAAATTAGGGCATATAAAGAAGGTATAAAACATGAAAAGTAAACAGAAACACTAATTGTATTTTCATACATTTTATTTTGTACAAATAACACACAAATGTACTACTTGATGGTGCTAGAAATTCGTGATGTAATCACTTTAACTCCACCTCTAGAAAACAACAACAAAACAAGCACAACTTTGTTCATTGTCATTTTTAGGTTGCTGACACTGTACAGTGAACGGTTAGACACGTTGATTCATTGGATAGCTCAAACCTACAAAGGAAAAAGACAATGCTGGCAAACAAGAGGAGGTAAGCAATCATAGATTTGATCATCGTTATCATAATAATCAGTAATATGATGGCAGACATGTGTGATTACATATATGCTATTTTTATAATGTAATTTGATGGTGCTTTCGATGCTATAATGATATGTGGTTAATATGCATTGACATAAAACTGCTGTGACGAATGCTAGTTGTAATTTAATGTGCTATACAGAGCATGAGATTCACATTATTTTGCACCAGCAGTTTTAGCAGTTTTTTGTTCACCAGCCCTTACCATAATTTACCAGCCCTCACAAATATTGTTTGCTGTTTGAACCAGAAGGGACTTAAATAAGACTTGGAATGATAATTAAAATAATGCTTGTCCCGGAAATGTTGTAACTAGTGTGAGGCATCGCGTAGTAGATGTTAAACTGAGTATAATGCAGATTGTGAATGACGTCTGAAGTGTTTTTGTCAATGTCATGTTCACGCTTGCATTCTCGATTTCAAATTTGTAAACTGTTGAGAAATTATGGCGTGATATATCCTTCAGGTAAAACAGTAATGTAGGCTATTTGCTCATTAATGCTATAAATACAAATGTAGGTACTCGCTAACACCCATGGGGGGGGCACTCTAAATATATTGCATGGTAGGTATGTGCCGCGGGAGAGACCCCCATTTTCAACCCTAAACTTCCATTTCAGTGCATCGCATTTTTAAGAATATCTCGTTCCAGAGCATCACAAGTTTAGTTACCATGCAGATCTTCAATTTTTGCCGTTCCGGAGACCCTATAGTTTTTAACATTTCTGTTCCAGTGCATCGTACTTCAGAATACTTTCTTTACTTACTTACTTTCATGTTTTTGCTTGTGTGTGTGTGTTGTGTGCGTGTGTGGGTGTGTGTGTGTGCGTGCATGCGTGCGTGCGTGCGTGCGTGCGAAATCCTAGTTCCGGAGACCCGCATTTTCGAACATAGCCAGTTCCAGAGCATCCCACATTCAACAAACATTAGTTCCAGAGACCCCCATTTTCAGGTCTGAGTTAGTTCCAGAGCCCCCCATTTTTGATTTCGCAGTGGCACATACCATAATGTGAAAACAATTGATAAATTCACATGTGTAAACTTGTGTTTATATCTATAGAGAATATAATTTATA